GCCTGTAATCCTAGCACTCTGGGAGGCCAAGGGGGGTGCTGATTGCTCAAAGTCAGGCATTCAAAACCAGCCTGAGCAAGAGCAAGACCCTGTCTCTACTAAAAATAGAAAGAAATTAATTGGACAACTAAAAATATATAGAAAAAAAAAAATTAGCCGGGCATGGTGGCGCCTGCCTGTAGTCCCAGCTACTCGGAAGGCTGAGGCAGGAGTATCGCTTGAGCCCAGGTGTTTGAGGTTGCTGTGAGCTAGGCTGATGCCAGGGCACTCACTCTAGTCTGAGCAACAGAGTGAGGCTCTGTCTCAAAAAATAAATAAAAATGCCCTTCTCGGTGCTGTTGTGAGGACCAAATGTAACACCGCATGTACATGTGCCGTGATGGGCTTCACAAGTAACCCTGGGCTTGTAAATCAGAGATGCCCCCAGCCTTCCAGCTTGTCCAGCCTCCCTGAAATCCTGACCTAACCTCCTCAGCTATCCCTCTTAGCTGTCTCCTGCCAGGGTCATGGCTTGCTACAGTCACTTCCAGGCCACCCTGTCGGAAGGGCTGGAATCTCTCAAAGTGTGGCTGGGCCCCACTAGGACCTGCCTTCCCTCCAAGAGCCTAGGGGATTGGCATGGCCTTTTGCCTCTTAGCCCTACCCTGCACGCCCAGGATACCCTTTTCTCTGACTGGCCTGGGAGTCTGTAAGCTGCCCACACTGCACTAGAGTCACACAGAGCTCATCCTAGCAAATTGGAAGTGAATTGAGGCTTTTTTTCTTCTGAAGTCCCCCTAAACTACATATGTCTCCTAAATTTCTGAATATTCCAAAGCCACACTGTTTCATACCCATCTCCAAAACCTTAGGGAAGCCTGCCAGTCCTCTTCAGGCCACTGCAACTGACCTTGCTACTCTTTTTTTTTTTGAGACAGAGTCTCACTTTGTTGCCCAGGCTAGAGTGAGTGCCGTGGCATCAGCCTAGCTCACAGCAACCTCAAACTCCTGGGCTCAAGCAATCCTCCTGCCTCAGCCTCCCGAGTACCTGGGACTACAGGCATGCGCCAACATGCCCAGCTAATTTTTTTCTATATATTTTTAGTTGGTCAATTAGTTTCTTTCTACTTAGTAGAGACGGGGGTCTTGCTCTTGCTTAGGCTGGTTTCGAGCTCCTGACCTTGAGCAATCCGCCGCCTCGGCCTCCCAGAGTCTTAGGATTACAGGCGTGAGCCACCGCGCCCGGCCTGACCTTGCTACTCTTAAGTGACCTGTTACCCAGATCCCAGTGTTCCTCTGACCTCACCCTGGCAGGACACTGGGGCTTCACGGGGTCCTTAAAGCTGACTCTACCTGACAGCCTTTGTTTCTCCCTTAATCTTTGAGTGCAGAGACCCAGGACTTTCAGGATTCAGCCACTTGCTCAGGGAATACTGGCTGGCACTGGCCTGGCTTCTCCAAGACATAAAAGCTACCCACCCACAATGTGTGGCCCACCCAAGGCCCAGGTGGGAGCTCAAACTCTGGTGTCTCTCCTTAGGTATAAATAAAACAATGTCTTGAATAATTGCACATCTTGTCCTTAGCTTTTTTTGTCCCTGTCTCTGCAAGTTACCTTAAGTGGTGATTCTGGGTGGTTGGGTTTTACTGCTCTTTCCCACAGAGAGAGCAGGACAACGACCCCTCCAGCAACGACCTCTCCTGCAAGCCGCCTGGTGTATGTGTGGGCTGCTCACTGCGGCCTCACTGCACACAGTGTGCGCCGTGTGGACCAGAGCCAGGGGAAGTGAAGCTGCGTATACCCTAGGCATACACAGTCGACAGTGCTCACTGTCCTTCCAGAACCTTTTTTTAAATGAAAGTATGTGGGCTTGTTTATAAGTGTGTGTTGAGGTGGTGATTATTTTTTTAAAACAGGCTGGCCTCATACTCTTTCAATTCAATAAATATTTATTGATTAGCTACCATATGCCAGGCACTGTTTTAGGTAATCGAAAATGATTCTGTGCCTTGCTGTTTTTGCTAAAATATTTCCATGTCAGTACATAATGATCTCCGTTATTATTTTTGATACTTGCTTGGTGTTCCATAGCATGGCAGCATCATAACTCCACAATTTCTTTAACTAATTTTAGACATTCAGATTGTCTCCATAAACTTTTCTATTATATATGACACTGCTATCAATGCTATAGTCTTATGATCTTGTACACATTTGTGAATATTTCTAAAAGACTCCTATAAGGGGAACTGCTTAATTAAAGCAAACATACTGAATATTCCTAATTGTTGTATCAGGTGCTATGGTTGGAATATTTGTCCCCTCAAAAACTCATATTGAAATTTAATCCCTTGGGCTGGATGTGGTGGCTCACACCTGTAATCCCAGCACTTTGGGAGGCTGAGATGGGAGGATCACTTGAGCCTAGGAACACAAGGTTACAGTGAGCTATGATCACGCCACTGTCTGGGTGACATAGTGAGACTCTGTATCTAAAAATATAAGTAAAATAAAGAAGACCTAAACAGCTGGGCATGGTGGCACATGCCTGTTATCCCAGCTACTCTGAATGCTGAGGCAGGATGATTGCTTGAACCCAGGAGTTCAAGGTTACAGTGAGCTGTGATCACACAGCTGTACTCCAGCCTGGGCAACACAGCAACACTCTGCCTCCAAAAAACAAAACAAAACAAAAAGAAATTTAATCCCCAATGTGTCAGTGGGGATTGAAAGGTAGAGCCTTTAAGAGGTGATTGGATCATGAGGGCTCTGCATGAATAGACTAATTCATTCATGGATTAATAGGTAATGAATTAATGGGTTATCATGGGAGGGGAACTGGTAGCTTTACAAGAAGAGGAAAAGAGACCTGAGCTAGCATGTTAGCATGCTCAGCCCTGTCACTAGCGATGCCCTGTGCTGTCTCAGGATACCATAGAAAGTCCCCAACAGCAGCCCTTTGACCTTGGCCTTCTCAGCCTCCGGAATTGTAAGAAATAAATTCCTCTTTTTTATAAATTACCCTGTTTCAGGCATTCTCGTATAAGCAACAGAAAACAGGTTAAGACACCAGGTATCAGGATGGTACCCATTTCTTCTGCTCCTACCAGTGTGTGAGAGGGCCCTTCCTCCTACTCCCCCTGGCCTCTCTTCAGAGAGTTTGTCCGTCTGATAGGCTAAAATGGGCAATAAGCTTTTCAACAGAAATTAGCCTCAGCGGTCAGGACCGATTGAGCAGCTTCTAACCTTCAGCACAGGGCCTTCCAGAGCAAAAATGAAGGGAGGTAAAGCTCTGGCTGCTCCCATGGGTGAGGTTCAGAGTTGACTACCACTTTTGTGGTCACTCATGTACTTTTCACATGCATGTTTCTCTTTATCCTTTACCCTCTAATAAATGTCATTATCCCATTTTCATAGATGAGGAACCAGACAAGAGAGGCTGACACCATCTGGGGGATGGTCATGCTGGAGACTCAGACTGGTGGGGGGAGGGGGAGAATGGGCATTTATTGAAACCTTAAAATCTGTACCCCCATAATATGCTGAAATTAAAAAAAAAGAAAAGAAAAGAAAAAAAAAAGTAACAAAACCAGGGAGGAATGGAAGTCTGAGGGTGAAGGTAAGCATAGCAAAGGCAAAGCCATAATTAACCCCAGGACTCGGCTGGAACCAGGGCTGGGTCTCCGAGCCAGAGCCAGAGCCGTGGGGGCTGGGGGAGGAAATGACATGAGATTCCTTCCCCTGGCCTGCAGCCTGTGGGACCTGCTCCACCTGTGCTCGGAGCTTGTCCTGGCCAGGCACGAGGTGAAGACTACAAAGGGTCCAGGGGCCCCAAACACAGGGAGAGGAGGGACCTGGGTCTGGTAACTTGGAAGGACTGAGGGAACAGCGGGAGGGCCGTTCCCCTGGTGATGGGAGAGGTGTGTATGAGTAGATTATAGAAGGCAGGCCCTGCCCACAAACTAATGGCAGACTTCTTCCATCCTCTGAGCTGGCTGCCACTGCAGTCACCGGCCAAGGCCCTCAGCACAGACCTCATTCCTCAAAAAGAGAAAAAGAGCCCCCAGCCCCAAACAATGCTCCTGTATTTTGGCTCTAACCCGAGGAGTTCTGGGGACAGAATCTTGCTGAACCCACTCTGGCTCCAGCACTTGCCAGTTGGTCCTCAGAGCTCAGCAGTTTGAAGAAATATTTTCAGTAGATTCTGGGAGGGGAGCCAGGAGGCAACAGTGCCTTTCCCTTGAGATCCCGTTCCCTGAGGAAGCTCAGCTCCAGTGGACATTCCTCCAGGGTCACATTCCTCCAGGGTCCTCTGTGACCTACACGCACAGGATTTCGTTCCAGGGACGGGAGCTGCTGCTCCGCAGGGGTGGCTCCACGCCAACTCCTCCCCCCACACAGCCTCCGGTACAATCCCCACTCCCCTGTGCCAGGTGTGACAGACAGGCTGTCAGGGGGAGCTGTCCACTGTCACGTGACAGAACCGGTGCTTTGCCGGTGTTTGCAGGGAGGGGTCCAAAGAAAACAGAAAAGGGCTCTGCATCCTGAACCTAGTGAAATCGTGGACCAGGATCTCTGAAAAAGAAGTTACATTTCCTCAGCTTTTTTATTTGTAAAAATAGTAGAAAATCTACCCTTTGATTATGTAAGAGAATGTCTTTCTTTTTAGGAAATACATATGTATGCAGAGAGAGAGAGAAAGAGAACATACGGATATGGTAACGTTGGTGAATCTGGGTAAAAGGTGTTTGCAAATTCCTTGTACATGCAACTGTTCTGTAAGTTTGAAATTGCATCAAAATAAAAAGGGACAAAAAAGAATTACAAAACACAAAGGAGCACTTTAAACAAATTAATCCTCATTCCCACCAGACTAGCCCATAATGGATTTAATTTTTGTGTGGATTTTGTTTTTATTTTTAATATGAAAAGACATTTTATTATCATTTTGCTATGTAACATATTAGTCCATATACCAGATTGCACTTTCTCAGATGGCAAATGAGAAAGAGGATAACATTTCTCTTTGATTCCCCAAAGAACCTTAATATTATCTGTTTTTTTGAGGATCCAGTTTTTTATGAAATCTGTGATACTGTCCATGGAGGATACCAGTGGCGCTTTATAGCAAAGAACATTTTGTTCTAGCATGGGTCCTTGTTCTAGCATGGGTTCTTGCTCAGGGTGCTCACTATTTTCTTCTACTCTAGTTTTTAGCACTTGATCATTGTTTCTTCATGACTGTGCACAGGATCTGGCCGAGGGACAGGTTTTGTGTGTTCATATGCAATGTCCACAGAAGGGTGGGAGCGTGCCATCATCCTGCCATCAGATGTCAAAGCAAGCTGCACTTTGCAATGATAGTCATCTGGAAGAGAAGAACACATAGATTTACAACAAACCAATATAAAGCTCTGTTTTGGGCCGGGCGTGGTGACTCACGCCTGTAATCCTAGCACTCTGGGAGGCCGAGGCAGGTGGATTGCTCAAGGTCAGGAGTTCAGAACCAGCCTGAGCAAGAGCGAGACCCCATCTCTACTATAAATAGAAAGAAATTAATTGATCAACTAATATATATAGAAAAAATTAGCCAGGCATGCTAGCGCATGCCTGTAGTCCCAGCTACTCAGGAGGTTGAGGCAGGAGAATTGCTTGAGCCCAGGAGTTTGAGGTTGCTGTGAGCTAGGCTGACGCCACGGCACTCACTCTCGCTGGGCAACAAAGCGAGACTCTGTCTCAAAAAAAACCACAAAACTCTGTTTTGGATTGGAAATAAATGTTTCAAGATAGTTCTCTTTGATATCACCCATTTTACTGCTGCTACTGTCATGGTGTAGCAAGATGCTTATCAGGTAGTATGAAGAAAGATGTTTTGAAGAGAAACTGTTTTTAAAACCTGCTTCTAGGCAGACCAGTTTCCATTCCTGCTTAACAGCTCTTCACTGTGACCCACTGTCTTGTCTCCTCATTTTTTGTATAGATTTTGAATTATTTTTACTCAGTTGCAATCATGGGTAAGTGTGTAGTCTGCCTTTTTTTTACTTAATGTTAGTCACAAACTTTTTCCATACTGCTACACATTCTTTTTAATTATCATTTTACTGATTTATAATATTCTGTGCCATAATTCGTGTTCCCCTGTTGATGGACATTTAAGACGAAGAAGGGGGCCGGGCGCGGTGGCTCATGCTTGTAATCCTAGCACTCTGGGAGGCCGAGGCAGGTGGATTGCTTGAGGTCAGGAGTTCGAAACCAGCCTGAGCAAGAGCAAGACCCCGCCTCTATTATAAATAGAAAGAAATTAATTGGCCAACTAATATATATAGAAAAAATTAGCCAGGCATGGTGGCGCATGCCTATAGTCCCAGCTACTCAGGAGGCTGAGGCAGCAGGATTGCTTGAGCCCAGGAGTTTGAGGTTGCTGTGAGTTAGGCTGACGCCATGGCACTCACTCTAGCCTGGGCAACAAAGCAAGACTCTGTCTCAAAAAATAAAAGACAAAGAAGGGGATTGATGACAGTCCATCATGAGCTCTTACCAGGTGCTGCCCACCACAAGCTGTGTACAGGCGTTGTCTTATTTGACTGTCACGATCCTGCCATGCCCCAAGCACTGTTCTAAAGCCTTGGGAACACATCGGCAAATTACATAGACAAAAGGGAGCTTACATTCTAATGGGGAGAGGGGGTGGAGAATGTACAATAAAGAATATACATGATAAATATTATGTTAGAAGGTGTCAGGTAATATAAAAAAAATAGAGCAGGGTAAAGAGAGGAAGGGAGTACAGAAGGAGAGGGTGTTCCATTTTAAATAGAATACTTGGGATAGGCCATATTGAGAAGTTAACGTTTGGGCAAAGACTTGGAGGAAAGGAGAGCAAACCATGAATAACACATGGACAAATAAATGAACAAATAAAATGACTTTTATGATACATTCTAACTATGTCATTAGGAAGCAGGCATGAGAAGGCATTCCAAACTAAGATCCCAAGTTTGGAAAGATAAATTCCAAGGAGAGATAAGATCAAAGTTTAAAAAATCATCCAAAGTGCAGATGGGATGAACAATGACTCATTCCACAAACAGTAGCAGTTGTTGCTCCAGAGTAATTTGAGGGCAAACAAAGAAAGCTGCTTCTTTGCACAGCAGGTGGTAAACACATGAGACTTAGGCCCTTAAAGACAGCACAGGCTGAAAGCATGGGACAGTTTCCAATAAACCCATGGACGCCAGCCCTGGGGTTAGCGATTGAAAGAAATTGAGGATATTTGGAAGGTATCCCCCAACCTTTTGATGTGATTCAGAGTAAAAGTCTAGTCTCTTAAGAAACACATCTTGTGCCATGTTGGGACACAGGATCTTGGTAGGGTGGGTCCAACTGAGTAGCCCAGTTGGCTCTGGATGCATCTCTCTCATAACTAACACTGAAAGTCCTTTACATTCTGCACTTTTGGTGTTTGTTAAACAAAATGCAAAATTGAACAGGCAGAATTATTACATTTGTAGGTTTTTTTAAAAATACAAGAATTACATAGGCTACACTTTTTCAAGCATATAATCACACTTTGTCACCAGGCCAGGATTTGTCATTTTGACTGAAGTATAATCTTTTAACAATTGACTTGCTTAATAAATAATTTCCAACTTAAATGGCCTTTGCTTTTCATAGAATCATTCAGCCGTAAATATATAAACATAATTTCAATGAAATGAAACTGAAATATGTGAAGGTGGCTTAATATTTAGAGGATTTCTATAGAAATAAAAGCTCAGTTAGTGAAGTTAAATACCTCTTTGCAAATTCATTTTACACACATGGATTGGATTTTTGTTTATTGAGCTTTCTTTTTCTTCTTCTTCTTCTTTTTTTTTTTTTTTTTTTTGGTCTGAGACAGAGTCTCTCTCTGTTGCCCAGGCTAGAGTGCTGTGGCATCAGCCTAGCTCACAGCAACCTCAAACTCCTGGGCTCAAGCAATCCTCCTGCCTCCTGAATAGCTGGGACTACAGATGCATGCCACCATGCCCAGTTAATTTTTTCTATTTTTAGTAGAGACAGGGTCTCACTTTTGCTCCGGCTGGTCTCAAACTCCTGAGCTCTAGCAATCCTCCTGCCTCGGCCTCCCAGAGTGCTAGGATTACAGGCGTGAACCACCACGCCCAGCCTATTGAAACTTTTTTAGAATAGAAAACTACATAAGGCACTACATTTTTTAAAAAAGAAAGGAAGAAAGGAAGAAAGAGAGAAAGAGAGAAAAGAGAAGAGAGAAAGAGAGAAAGAGAAAGAGGAAAGAGAAAGAGAGAAAGAGAGAGAGAAAGAAAGAAAGAGAAAGAAAGAAAGAAAGAAAGAAAGAAAGAAGAAAGAAGAAGAAGAAAGAAGAAGAAGAAAGAAGAAGAGAAAGAAGAAGAAAGACACAGAAGCTAATACACGCATAGGATAGCCCTGGAAGGATACACAAAGAATTGGTAATAGTGTCTGCCTTCATGAAGGGAAACAAGGTGACTGAAGGACAAAGTAGGAGACATTTTTTTTATCACACACCCTTCTAGATGTTTTGACTTTTATATCATGAGTATATATTATTTAGTAAAAAAGTAATTTTTAACACAACATTTTAAAAAAGCATTGCTGGCCGGGGGTGCGGTGGCTCATGCCTGTAATCCTAGCACTCTAGGAGGTCGAGGCAGGTGGATTGCTTGAGGTGGGAAGTTCGAGACCAGCCTGAGCAAGAGCGAGACCCCGTCTCTACTATAAATAGAAAGAAATTAATTGGCCAACTAATATATATAGAAAATTAGCCGGGCATGGTGGCGCATGCCTGTAATCCCAGCTACTCGGGAGGCTGAAGCAGGAGGATTGCTTGAGCCCAGGAGTTTGAGGTTGCTGTGAGCTAGGCTGACGCCCCGGCACTCACTCTAGCCTGGGCAACAAAGGGAGACTCTGTCTCAAAAAACAAAACAGGCCGGGCGCGGTGGCTCACGCCTGTAATCCCTAGCATTGGGGAGGCCGAGGCGGGCGGATTGCTCAAGGTAAGGAGTTCGAAACCAGCCTGAGCGAGACCCCGTCTCTACCAAAAATAGAAAGAAATTAATTGACCAACTAAAAATATATATACAAAAAAAAAAAAATTGGCCGGGCATGGTGGCGCATGCCTGTAGTCCCAGCTACTCGGGAGGCTGAGGCAGGAGGATCGCTTGAGCCCAGGAGATTGAGGTTGCTGTGAGCTAGGCTGACGCCATGGCACTCACTCTAGCCTGGGCAACAAAGTGAGACTCTGTCTCAAAAAAACACAAAAAACAAAAAACAAAACCCAAAAAGAAACAAATTAATTGGGCAACTAATATATATAGAAAAAATTAGCCGGGCATGGTGGCGCATGCCTGTAGTCCCAGCTACTCGGGAGGCTGACGCAGGAGGATTGCCTGAGCCCAGGAGATTGAGGTTGCTGTGAGCTAGGCTGACGCCATGGCACTCACTGTAGCCTGGGCAACAAAGTGAGACTCTGTCTCAAAAATAAATAAATAAATAAAATAAAAAAGCGTTGCTGTTTCAGTACAATTATGTAGTCACCAAAATGACTCTGAAATAAATAATGAATGCTAGTGTTAGAACACATGGACAGGGTCAGGAAAAGTACTGAGTCAAGGATGAAGCCTTCCTCCTAAGTCCTCCCTTTAAATGTAGCCTAGTATTTTAAGTTAGCTGACTGGAAATTTTTTAAAGACTTACTTGAGATACAGCTTATATACCTGACATCGTCAGACAAGGACCTCTGCTCTGATTTCATGAAGCCCACCATATTTGATCTTCAAGATTGCCTTTTCTTTTCTTTTTTAAAAATTTCAGCTTCCAAAATATGAATACTTTAATAATTGTATGAGCCACAGATATGAACACATAATTCACACAAGGCAAAAAGTAAAGAGTATATCAATTCATGGAAAACATCCCACCTGAATAGTCAAAGAAACTCAAACTAAAACAAAGAAATATCTTATTCAATTAGCAATTTGGTCAAAAGTTACTCCCAGTAGAGAAGAGAGTCTGGTGAATCTTGTATATTTTGACATCACTGGCCAAAATAGAAATCAGCCTAGCCCCTTTGTGAAGCATTACGTCAATTCACATAGCCATTTAAAATATTTATGTCATTTTTCCTGGTAATCCCATTCCTGGGAATTTGTCCTGAGGAAATTTTTCCAAAGAAGAGAAAAAGCTCTATGCGGGAAGATGGTTGCAGCAGTATCCATCTGTCTTAGTCAGATAGGGCTGCTATAACAAAATACCATAAACTGGGTGGCTTAAACAACAAGCATTTAGTTTTCACACTTCTGGAGTTTGGAAGTCCAGGGTTAGGGTGCCAGT